AATCAGGGTGGGCCTGATTGAACCAGTTGAAAGTCATTGAAAGCAGGCCAGAGGCTTCCCCTAGAAAGAGAAGGAATTCCTTCTGTGGACAGCTGCCCATGGAGTCCCTCCCGCTGGTGATGTTCCTTCCTGAGCATCTGTAGACAATAGCTTTGGCCCATGTCTGTGAGTTCTATCCAGCCTGCCTATTCTGTGACCTTCCCATTCTGACTGCCAGGCCTACTAATTTTTTACTTGCTTAGCCAGCCCCCACACTCAAAATGCCAATTCTTGTAATAAATCTCACAGGTGTGTACAGCATATATATCAATGTATATATGTGTGTGTACACATAAGTGTTCACACATTAAAAATTTAATATTCAAAATGCACAAAACTAAGTTTAGTGTAAAGAAAGTATGTTTTCAAGTAATATTTTTAAAATCTCATTTTGTTTACATTTAAGAAATTATTAAAGCTTAAAACTACATTAAGATGTTTTCAAAAATTAACATTTAGATTTTGTTACTCTTTCTACTATTGTTTGGTTTATATTTCATTAATTTTAGCTTTTATCTTTGCTAATTCCCTCTTTAGTTTCTTCCAATTTATTTTATTCTTTTTCTAAATATATGTTACACTTTAAATTTGAAAAAAACCACCTAGCTTAAAAAGAAGATCTGACTTCTATTCAAACAGTGTGACAGACTGGATACTCTGGACCCAATGGAAACAACTAGAAGTGTTGGATAAAATATATTTTAAATGTATTAATGAAGAAACTAAGATGGCGGCAGAGATAAACACCGGGAAATTAATGCCGCTCACAACAATTGATTAATACCTTAGAGAAACAATACGGACTTCATCCAGAACAACAGGAAGCCTGGCTGACTGTAAATTCTACAACTAGAAGGAAGGAGAGGCACACTGAGACCCAGAGAAGCTGCAGGAGAGAAGCGCAAAGGTACGGGGCTCGCGCCGCGGAAAGGGGCTGGCACCTGAGGACGCGGCTGGCTTTTTGAATCCGGAGGGGGTCACAAGCTCCCGACGGCTCTGAACTCCGGTTCCGGGAAGTCTCTGGGGACCCAGGACTCAAGCGGGGAGAAACTGGACTGTCTGGCAGCGAGCGATCTTGAGGGCTTCTTTCCCTCAGAGGTGCTTGCAGCCGTTACCGGGACACTGAGACGCGCGTCTCCTTAGGGCAGGGCTGAGGCTCCGACATAGCTGCTTGCTCCGCCCGTTGATTCCCTGAGACCCCGCCCACCCAGGCTGCCGCAGAGGCTTTTGCATATGAATGCCCCGGCCATTTGCAACCTCTAATTACCTAACTGCA